GGGGAATGGGGTGGGGACGGGGAATGAATTTCTTAACGGGGCGGGTTGCCATCCCTATCGGTACATATTTTTTAAAATTCATTTTTTTCCTAACCTCATTTTCCACTATCGGATTCTATAATTTTACATATAAACCCTTAGATTTTCCTTAATTTTTAACCACGCAATTCTTTTAAAAAAAATTACGTTTGATAAAATCTACTCTTAAAAAATCTCTATGAAACGGGTTCAAATTATTGAAAACTTAGAAATACTTCATTTCGCTCTTCCAACATTATATAAACAAATAAAATTTCTTAATTACTGTATTCTGATTAACAAAATTTATTCAATGAATAAAAAGAAAAGTAATCAATTAAAATATTTTTTTATATTTGTTGTTATTTTGTCGTTAAAATCAAATTCTTATTCATTTAAGTTAGAAAAAATTTTCAACGTATGAAATTGTTAAAAATAATGCATAATTTTATTGACATCTAGTGCGAATAGAAGAGAATAATATATAAACATAACTAATAAAATTATCTAATTTTTGTAAAAATGCAAAAAAATTATGTATATAATGCAGTAAAAGGTCTCAACTAAATGTTAACTTATGAAAACATAGATGAATAAGAAAGAAAAAATATATATATATATTTTTAGATGAAAATGTAGTAATTGAATGAAAAAATAATGACAAATGTGTATGTGAAGTATTACATAGTGTATTGCAACAGGAGTGATTTAATATTTTTAATTATGGATATTTTGGTCTATGTAACTATTTTTAATGACAAATTTGTAATTTTTTAGTAATTTTTTTTCTCTTTACCGTATTTCAAAATGTAATATGTAAAGTGTAAATTTAAAAACATTGTATGCGAAGTGTAAATACACCGCAAAACAAATCGTGCACTCGCGCCAAATCAATCGAAGATATTAGATTTAAATGATTTGAATCTACATGTAAAGGTAAAATATCTTAATTTTTAGCATTGAATCACTTCAAGCTCCTAAGTTAAATTTTTATGTACAAGATAAACTTTTCACAAAAACGTTCGCACGAAAACTTATTTTCGATATGACAAAAATCCTCACTTGACTTTAAAATTCTTATTTTAAAAAGTTAAGCGAATATATCCCTAAAGTATTTATACTTGCTTAAATAATCAAGAAAAGAGAAAATCGAAAATTTATGGTCTAGCGGACGTCTGGTGGATCTGGCGGACGCCCGGTGGCTTCAACGGTCAAATTTCTTACCGTTCTGATGTCTGACGTATAACGCCTATTTTCATTCGTCCAGTGAGTAGCAGACGTCCGATTGGGCAGAACTTTTTGACTCTTTGACTGCTATAAATACAACATCAATTAAAAATCATTTTACATATTCAAAAGCATTCAAGTGAGATTCTTTTGAGCAAAATTGCATTAATTTCCCATATCAAATCATTTTTGCCTTAACTTTTGAAAATCATTATACACATCAAAGTGTTTCATACCTAATACTTAAATTTCATTCATTACTATTTATTAAAGTGTTAGCCTATTTCACTATTGGTACTAAATTTCGATTATATTATTTATTAAGAGAGAAGTTTCAATTTGTATAATCTACTTTCTTTGTATTTGTGGGTAGTGTTGAGGTCTCGTAAAGCTCAACGTTGTAAAAGGATCGGTGCTCCTTGCTTGTAAGTCACCGAAAACTTTGTAAATGGTTGGATTGCACCACAAGTCAATCAACATAGTCAAATTGGCATTTCTCGTACCGGAGAACTCGGTAACAAATGACGTAGATCATTGCGTTGGATCGAACCTCCATAATTATATCGTTTGCATTCTCTATCCCTATTTACTTATTACTTTCATATTTGTGATTATCATTTGAATTAATCTATTTAGTTATCACGTGCTTGATTTTAAGTTTATTTTTCAAAAAAGTTTTGAAAACCAGTTCACCCCATCTTGGTTAGTTATTTTTGGGCTATCAATTGGTATCCGAGTAAGGTGCTCATTTTAAAATTAAGATTTTATAATCTCGAGCAATATCTAACCACAACAATCTTCAAAATCTCGAGGAATATTCCATAAATCGACCTCTTTTCTTTGATGGCACACATTATAATTGTTGGAAAGTTAGAATGATGATTAACATTCAATCAATAGATTATAATATTTGGGAAGTCATTGAATATGGTCCTTATGTGCCTACCAAAATTATTAAAATTGATGGAAAACCCGACTAGAGGCATTCCACAAATGGACCTCCCTTCGTTGATGGTACACATTATAATTATTGAAAAGCTAGAATGATGATTTACATTCAATCAATAGATTATAATATTTGGGAAGTCATTGAATATGGTCCTTATGTGCCTACCAAAATTATTAAAATTGATGGAAAACCCGACCAATATATTCCCAAACCTAGAGATGAATATGATGAAGATGATAAAAGAAATTGACCTTGAATGCTAGAGCCAAAAACCTACTTTATTGTGTTTTAGATAGAAATGAGTCTAACCGTATTAGCACATGTGACTCCGCATATGATAGATGACACATTTTAGAAGTCACTCATGTTGGCACAAGTAAGGTAAAAGAAACCAAGATCAATCTCTTGGTCAAAGAATTTGAAATTTTTTTCATGAAACAAGATGAACTCATTGTTGATATGATTACTTGCTTTACCGATATTGTTAATGGCCTCAAAGGCTTTGATGGTACATTTACTTACAGTGAGTTTGTAAGTAAAATACTTAGGTCACTTTCGGAAGATTGGAACTCATTGAAGATGTTGATAGAAAATACCAAAGATATCAACACTTATCATTTGGAGGAACTCTATGAAACTTTGATGACATACGAGCTCGACAATGTCGAAACCAAGGAGAAGACAAGGAAGAGCAAGGAACAATCAAAAGAGCTTCCCAGGTGTCAAATTTCTCTCAAATCGGAAATTGAAGAAGGAACTACAAGTGAACATATGAGCAATGAAGAGTTTGATGATCTCGTGTTTCTTGTCAAAGAATGGATAGGCTTTCGAAATAATTGAAAATTTCAAAAGAAAGACGAAAAGAGCGAAGAAAAAGGCAAACTTTTTTATTTTTTAACGGTTGTGAGAAACTCGTTCACAAGAGAATTGAGTATCCAAACAAAAAGAGAAATTTCAAGAAAAGGCACTTCAAGCAACATGGGATGAAAACTTTTGAAAATCATTCTACACATCAAAATTTTTCATACCTAACACTTGAATTTCATTCATTGCTATTTATTAAAGTATTAACATATTTCTCTATTGGTACTAAATTGTGATCATATCATTTATTAAGAGAGAAGTTTCAATTTATATAATCTACTTTCTTTGTACTTGTGGGTTGTGTTGAAATCTCGTAAAGCTCAACGTTGTGAAATGATCGGTGCTCATTGTTTGTAAGTCATCGAAAGGTTTGGATTGCACCACAAGTCAATCAACATAGTACAATTGGCCGTGCTCGTGCCGGAGAACTTGGTAACGAAGTTGGATCGAACTTCCATAATTATATCGTTTGCATTCTCTATCCCTCTCTATTTATTACTTTCATATTCGTGCTTATTATTTAAATTAATCTATCTAATTATTACGCGTTTGATTTAAGATTAATTTTTTGAAAAAAATTTAAAAACCAAATCACCTCCTCTTAGTTAGCTATTCTTGGACTATGAGATGGACCATCTTGTAATCCCATCATATTTGTAGAACTTTTTTTACTTGATTCCTTGTTTGGATCTCTCGACTTTAAGTATCATATGATATCTATATAACAACTTTATCTAAAAGCTTACGTTTCCAAATATTATGAGATCAAGTTTTACCACCATCTCAGTAAAATTGTGAATGAAGAAACAAATCAGGCCTTCCATGCTTTATAAACTGTATAAAACAGAGAGGAGGCTATGTATAGATTGAAATCCATGAAATTAACTATTGTCTATTCTATTGTACGAGGAGTACAAGACATCTATATTCACTCACCAAACCTCGAAAAAACCAAAGAAACGTAAGTATCCACACCCTTGTATTGGACGAGTTCCAATTACTAATTTCTGCTAGTCACCGGTGATACCTCTTCTGAACATATTTCTCATGGTGAGAACAGAACAACGTGAAGAGGTCTGATCGGTCGGTTCATGACATTTCATTATACTGATGAAAGTAGGGAGACTCGAGTCTGGTGTTCTTTCTCCCAGAATGGATGGTCCACTTCTACCGGATATTCAAGCATTGTATCTGTATTTTTAGCAGTCCTTTCCATGGATAATAAATTGGTGTGTTCATTTGATGCCAATCCCTCTTCATAATGGCCATTGAAGAGAGAATTTGTTCTCAAATAATTTTCAAAAGTGGTTTCTTTTAGGCCCCCTTCTGCAGGCCAGTTGCTGAAACTTCCAAAACCTTTGATTCCAAATGTTAATTTTCTTGCTTTAGCTCTCTCTTCTTTGAGATATGGCCTATCTTCCAGAAGGTTCAGAATTCTTTCAGATTTCTTCTGTACACTCAATCCCCAGTTGAACCTGCATATATGTGTCAAGACCAATATGTTGAAGATACAAATATAAATAAATAAATGCATCTCTTCTTTAAAAGCACGACACTTGAGACGATTCAATATGGTACAAGATCGGTTGAAGGCTTTGAGTTCAAGTCTCCACTCCACCAGTTTATGACAATTCCATGACTCAATCCTTTGAATACACGAGTTGCGTGATACAAAAATCTTATCGCTTATAGATGGAACTTTCAAGTGTCAAGCCTTTGATGAAAAAATGAATTCAGTATACACGTGAAGGGATGTAACTTCAGTATAAAATAAGTAAATAAACTTCATCGAATCTCTAATTGGTTTAGTTTATAGATGATGAAATTCAATACAAGGTTGTATAGATTTATCTCCACTCAAAACCTGTGTTAAATTCTTTCCTCTTAACATTTGTTTTCAGACGACTTGATTCTCTATAATGAACTAAAATTTCTTCCAATTAGTACTTACGAAACACGCAAAAAATAGAAGAAGACAAACAACAAGGACTAACCCTTTCTCATCTACGTATCGAAAATTTGCCATCTCTCTAATAATATCTTCTTCACTTTCAAACTCATCAGCCAGCCTTTGTGGTCCATGAGTGAGAAGGTGTTCCAACAAAATTAGAGCCTTGTAGGAGGCTCTCCAGTTCCATGTATCAAACTTTGACAACCTTAAAAAAGTTAATGAATCAATTATGAATTATTTGTTCCATGAAAACTGAATTTAACTGTGTACAAGAAATTAAAGAACCTTTGATGCAGAATATGCACAATTCTCTCATAATCATCCACTTCAAAGGCTGCACGTGATATTAATCTCATGGCATTTGTGTTTGCTGCCATTGAATCTCCATTTGTTATTTCCTCTGTCAATCTGCATCAGAAATCACAAGATTCAACGACTCTCTTACGCTAAATTTGAAATCCAAGATTTTGCAATAGATTTTTCAGACGAGAATCTTTATATAGGAATAGAAATTGAAGTGATGGGATGGGATGGGATGGGATGAGAACTTACATTTGGATGGGAGTAACATCTGTGAGAACCAATCTTGCAGTCTTGATTTTCTGTTTCAAGAAGAAGGAAGCTTGCCTCTTGAATTCGTGCATCAAAGATCCCATTTTTTGGTTGAACTCAATGAAATATTGTATAGATTTTATATACGTAAATGTGAGATTGTATAGGAAGAAATAGTCCACATGACGACGTTGGAACTCTAACTACTCCATTAGCATATCTAAAAAGTGGGATTTCGATTGTAATTTGAAGATAATATGATGAATTTCAGAATATTTTGTCCCCAAGTTAATGACTAAATAATATTCAAGATTTGATAGAGTTGTAACAGAAAGATAATATTTTCTTTTTTAAATTTTGCTTAGGATTTCTATCTTTTTCCTGTTTTGGTTAGAATATAATGGCATGTTTGGTTCCCTTCTACTCCATAGGTGAACTTATTAATTTTGTTCAATCCGGAGTTCACAATATCACTCGATGAGTTTTTCTATTCGCGTCTCTATTTCTTAATCGTGTTCATATAACATATCAAACATGTCATTCATGTCCTTTTACTTCTGAGCCCTCGTTTCGTAAGGATTAAAATTTGATTTTTAGTAGATTAAAATTGATGAAATGTGCAGTTGAAAAATTGTAGGTTCCACAAAATGTGGTTAAAATTAGTTGTTGATTGGACTTAAATTAAAATCTGAATTTTAATTTCTACCAGCAGCCAGGGCTGAATTTGTTTATGGATAACACCCCTTTGGTTACTAAAATACATTTTTCTTTTTCCAAACTTTATCTACATATGACGTCAAGTTCAAATCTTTAAAGACTTGTTTATTATTTCAAGTCAAGTTTAACCAACCTAAAACTGTGATTGTTTGAATCCATCGTTTCAATTGCAATCAATAGCACTAACAATTGTCTTATGTGCCCATTTACCAACTTTACCAGTCCATTTCACAAATGGACATGTTTGGCAGCAGAATGACTTCAGGTTTGAAACAATATTGCGAGTTTTGGCGCCATTCAAAATATATTTCTACTAAAAACTAAATTCTTCGACTCCAATTCTCCAAATATTCATTTTTTTTCCTAACTCAGTATATAATATCTCCAACGTTATATTCTCGACAACATACAGTGCTGCTCCATGGTACGTATTATATCCGGAGAATGACTTTGGTACATATCAAAAAGATAGTCGACGAACCCTATTTCTGGATTTGATAAAAGCTCAAAGTGGTGAATAGAGTATAAAATAGTGCTATGATCAACCAAAGTTCATGATTTCTACTAAAAACATTAAAGTTCACTTTTCCAAGGCTTAAAATACAGAAACTAAAGGATTTTCGTACAAGTGGTCCAAAACACGAGCATGTGTCGCTGTTACAAATAAGTTCCTTTCAGGTTCCTTGGCCGAAAGGTGTTGAACATTAAAAGTCCTGTATCAGCCTACTTTAAACGTTAATCGCTGTCTTTTTCCATGCTCACCCAAAAATAACAACTTCAGGTATAAATTTTCCATATTCCACTCCTATAGCCTAAAGACATCAGAGCCATTTCCCACAACATATTGGGAATGCTTAATAAATTAACTTTCGATCCTGGAATTTCAGTCCAATTCACAGAAATCTCGATCATAGGTATGCGGAACCATTTGCACAAGTATACCACCTCAACATCAAAACACCACCTGCAAAATTACAAGCTCAGTAAGTTCAACAAGATAAACCAGATTATTTCCTGCATCCCAAACCACAAAGAAAAGGGGATATTCTAGGAAAGTGGAAAATGAAAGGAAAGAAGCAGTGAAGCAGAACATAGAAACTATAAATACCCAAATGGAGAAGCTGAAGAGACCATTGACCTAAACTAATGGTGTTTAAATTGTGTGCTCAAAGTAATTACAGGAATAATTTGCCGTCTCCTAGCTTAGGTATCTTGACCATATTTGCTGCCTGTAGTACATTAGTTTTCTCACATAGATCATGATAATTATGGTGTCTTTTTTTTAGGAAACTATTCATTCACTAATCACAATAGCTGACAAAATATTTATCATGCACAAATGATATATATCATATCTTTGACGTAGTACCACAAAATTCAACAATGAAGTCTCTCTATTCATATTTTATACCAATCACTCTTAATTGTATATATTCTATGTTTATGTTAAAAAAGATTCATGGCTAAAGGAAAAGCACGACTTAACTAGTACTTCAACGAGCAAAACCCAGAAAGGAAAGGCATGGCTCTTTCTAGGTTGAAGGGAGAAAACCCAGAAAATTTAAAGAGAGAGAGAGAGAGAGGCACAGTGGAGGTTTATCTGGGTCGTGTTTGGCAATTCTCCTTCTGCATTGATGTTTGGTCCACCAGCGTGTGAATATTCGCTAAAATTTGAGTCTTTTTTTTATGAGAGGATCGTCTTTCCAATAATCTCCCAATTTTTGAATTGCAAATGGATTTAGTGTTAAAGCACAGCCAAGGACCAAAAAAGTTTATCTCAAAATGGTATGTTAAGATAGATACTATAATCTTTCGAGAAACAGCAAACTATTTTCCTTGTAATGCTATTTTGGAACTCCTACAAGCACTAATTTAACCATTCGGTGATTGCTAAAAGAAGCATTTACCGTTTCAAGCGGATGTTCGTGAAAAGCTTTCTGGCAGCAGCTCTAGTGAACATCTTAAAACCACACTGTAAAATACAAAGAAACTCGAATAAAAATATATTGTTTCAAATTTCATTTATTTATCAAAATTTAAAAGGATAACATATAACATGTTAGGCATGGTTCAAAACTATCCCCGCACTGAAAAGGAACTTCCACAACGAAAAAGTCAATGGGTGACTACCTGTGTGTCACGGATTCCGGAACCAGCAGCCAAGAGAACTACCACATGGAAACCCTTCATTAAAAAATTTCGGTACCACTTTCTCTGGAACAAAATATGAACTTTTTAGCAGATACAAAACAATTATATTAAGTTTAAAGGAAACAATTGTAATGTATACAAAAGGTGACAATAGAATCAAGACTCGACTGTTGCTAGAGCCTTTTCCTCAAGATGAGCACGAGAACCGAAAGCAACAATTGGTACATCTGAAATTCTTAAAGTTGAATCACTGGCCACAGAGTCTCCAAACTTTCGTTCCTTCTTAGCAACTGCATGAATCTGACAGACAAATCATTATGTACTTTGGAAAAACTGAGCTCTTAGTTTCCTAATTCTAAAATTTGATATCTTAAAATAGAAGATTCTACAACAGAAATAAGATTTTTATGATACACATTTTATAATCAAAGAGGGTACCAACCTGATTTTCAAGTTTTTCAAGATCGCTCACTTTAGTTGCTCCATCAGCATCAAGCATTAAAAGTAGTTCACCACGAGAGTGAAGCATTCCCTGTTTTACAATGCTTTCGCAAAAGCAAAAAGCTTCAATCAATTGTAATAAAATGGGAGATTCGGAACGTACATGGTACAACATCAGCAGAAAAACTCCTAACTGAATCAACAAATTGTTCAGATTAGACTCACTTTTCTTATTGCTTCTCCTTTGCCATGGTTCCTTCCAAGAAGGATAACTCTTACATTTTCAACTGTATATCTTTTCACGAAGTCAAATGCTACTTGTTTTGTACCATCAACACTTCCATCATCGACAATCACCACCTAATCCAGTATTTATTCATTTAGAATATAGAGAAACCAGAAAGCTGCATGTTTTGGAACCTTTAAAGTGATAAAAATCTTGACACTGGAAACTAGACTCTCCACGACATATCACACACACACACACACAAAAGGCATATCAAGGTTTAAATGGTAGGGTGCTTGCTGCAACTATTTGACAATTATCAAAAGATGTAATGTAGGCATTCTCAATCACAGGTTTGGATATTAGAAAAATTATAGCAGACAAGCCTGGCCCACCATCATGTAAACACACGCCGAACTTGTAAATTGATTTAGACAACTTGATAATTTCATGATGCTTGAAACGAAATTATAGGTTCAAATCTTTCTAAATTCAGTATCAATTCTTAATATTTGCTCTCAAGTGCTTATTCCCATAAATCACAACATAGAATTAAGCTGAGATCATTAGAAACCGGTTTACACATCAAATTCACTATCAACGCAACAACCAAAATACAACATGTACACCTTCTCTGCTAAACAAGAATTTTGTGAGAGAAATATACACCGATCTGCTGAAATAAGATTTCCTTATTAATCTGTCATATAACTCATATAGCTAAAACCAACCAATCTTTACTCTAAGTGGTAGCATTAGCCAATTTGCATGATTGAAAGATCATTGCAATTGTGCTATATTTTCACATATTCAAATCCATTTTTTTTTAATCTCTCTTTGCTGGCATCATCAACTTTTAATTCGAAAACAGTTCTCCAGCATTGCATCACTTATTCAACACTTAACTGATTGGAGATAATAAGAAGTTTCAAGCTAACTATAATTCTATCTTTACATAATTGACATTTTTATTCATCAAGACACAACTAAACCCCCAAATATTGAGACTTCTTCCTGATAAAACAGCATACGCTAAAAGAGCTGCTTTGTCAAACATTCACATCAAAACAATAGAAGTACTAAAGAGACACTCAAGAAGAAACTGTACGTTCCACCTACTCTGCAGCTTTGGCTTGCTCACCTCTCTCTATCTAGGTCCACAGGGATCAAAAAAGCTATTTATGGACTAAAAATACTATTCTGGACAAAACTTGAGGCTTACAAGCAACATATTATAAAACTTCCCAATTGCTAGAACCAAACCATACCATGGAAGAAGTAAAGAAAAATATTTTATGTGCCATACCTCATATGAAAATGTCTTGTCCTTTTCTGCACGTTGCTGAAGATAACTACAGTGACAGAATAGCAAAATAATATGCTCATCAGATATTGGCATCTCTATTAATCATGGTAAGCAAAAAGAATTTTTGACAAGCATTAAACATAGCTATAGCCTATATGTATATCTGAATATTTCTAAATGCAATTTCACATATATTAGTGCTCTCTATCTGTGCGAAGAACCATTTGTAAGACGCCAGGAGTCCTTTCTCCCACTTGCAGGTTCTTGTCAAATTTGTAGAGAACCGGATCAAACACTCTCTTAGAAGGGGCATTCAGCAAACTAAGGGAAGCTATTCAATTTTAAATTATGTACAAGAAGATCCACATGTGCTACAAACTTTACCAAAGGATCCGTTCTAAGGACTGATCACAATATATAGAGGTAGGCAGTGACTAATAGAGGGCAGTGAATCAGGCACTTTTAATTACTGAATCTATAAATATGCAAGTAGATAGTTCACGTCCCGAATTTACTTGTTTGGGAGTTTAGGTTGTGACAGGGCTACAACATTGAAGGCTAATGAAATTTAAAATTTTAAAATAAGCATAACACATGCGTGTCTTCGTACTTAAAATTGGACTAACTAGTTAACATAAAAAATCAAAATGTAGGTGCAGACGAGAATGTCAGATATTGAAAGTAATTGTAGAGCATAAAAAGTGGACACATTAACTGATCAATCCTTTGACTTACTTCAAGGTTTCATCAAGCGCTCCTGGAAGCCTATGTTCTTCATTGTACGCTGGAATAATCAATGATATGTACTTTTCAGCAGGATCAAGAATTTGAGGACAAGGAACCTGAAAGAGAGACATTCAGATTTCAGCACAGTAATTTACCAAATCAACATAGATGTCTATTGATTAGGTATCCAAATAACAGCCAGTAATATGGACTTCAGAGCTGAAATTACACAGAAAGTGGAGTAAGCAAACTTTCTTCAACCCGCAAAATCCCGCATACATTATCTCCAATAAACCCAAAACCTTAAAATATTTGTATGAAACCCAGTATTTGAGTATATAGTCATTCTTCAATTTCCAACCAGAAATAGAAATCAAGGTAATAAAATGCTAAATAATGCTGAGAATGCACATAAATACAATTAAATTTTTTTTTTATGCATACCGGTTTCAATGAATTTGGATCCTCGAAAATTGGAGAAGCTTCAACGTGACTGCAAATATAAAATTCAAAACATCAAAACTAAGAAGTGTATAGAGAGATTTTGAGTATAAATCCAGATTGTTCCCAAATTTTGGGCGGGCGAAAGAGCGTACGTGTGATTGTATTTTCTTCTGATTGTTTCGAAAACTATGGCAGCCGCTAATCCAAATGCGAAAATCGAAGCAAAAATAAATAGCGACTGAAACATCATCCACACTAATCCCATTTTTGGATTTGAGTTCAGAGTCTGGACTCCGGAAATGGGGAATAGATCGAGGAATTGAATAAACTGAAACTGGTTGAGAATGAAGCGTGTAGAAAATTGTGCAGCTAGAAAGAAATTTGTTCTCTAGGTTAGATGGTCAAGTTGATTAATTATTACCTACAAATCCAAGGTTCGAAACCACTTTTCTTGAATTTAACCCTTATTTGATATCCATTATTTTCAAAGTACATGTTTCAATATCTTATTTTCAACCTCACATTTTTCAATAAAATAACATTATACGTAAATTCAAAAAAATTTCTTATTTTTTAACTACACATTTTCCATCAAAATACAATTACAAAATGCATTATTGGACAAAAAATGGGGCTCAAACAAGGGAACAATACATAAATTAGGTTTTTAAGTATCACCATTTGAAATTTAAGGTTAGAAGTTTTAAATTTCAAAAATCAGGTTTTCTTTAAGATTTATTTGTGAAGGAATTAATTAATTATATATTTTATTGATAAATATATAAATGTCACAGATCTATTCAATTTGGTCACAAATCAAAAATTTTAAGGTCACGATTCAAAAATTTTATAGGTCACAGTTCGTTCATCGGTCACAAATTAAAAATTTAAAAGTCACAATTTGTTCATCGATCACAAATCATAAAATTTATAAGTCACTCAACTTATTTTATGGTNCCGCCACCGCCAACACCATCCCCCAACAACCACCACCACCACCACCACCACCACCCAATGAAAATGACCACAACCATCGCCGCCTGTACCAACCACCGCCAACCACCAAAACGCAGCAAATCGCACCCACAGCCACAGCCACCGCCTCAGCCACCGCCAACCACCAAATTGCAACAGATCGCACGCACCTACTACCGCCACAGCCACCACCAAATCGCAGTTGATTGCACACAGCCACCACATCCGCCACCACCTAAATCGCGACCCAAAATCACCACGAAAATCGCGACCCAAAAAAGATAAGGAAGGATAGCAGCATCGCAACCATAAAAACACACCACCACCACAACTACCAACAACTCACCCCGCCGAACCAACGTCACCGAAACCACCCCAAACCACCACTACCACCCCACAAACAACATCAACAGCACCACACACTGCCAACCAAATTCACCCGCCGCTCTCAGATCTTCTTCCAGGGATTACGCCGCTGCCGCCGCTCTTGTAGCCGTGGTGTCGACGATTTGAGGGAGAGGAGAGGCGCCGGTGGTGCTAGATTCTGACATCGGCGGCGGGAGAAGAGAGAGAGGCTAGAGATGAGAGAGAAGGAGAGATGAGAGAGAATGTGTAAATGATTTTTTGATTTTTAGGGTTTGGATAATTATAATGATTGAAATGAATTAATATTTAATATTTAAAATGAGATACCTGATTTTTGTATAAATAAACTTCAAACCTGATTTTTGAATTGTAAATTTTAAATACTTGTGTGGGTGTAATTTCCTTCTCAAACAAGCTTTTAATTAGACCCTGCCATACATTTATTTTTGCAATGACTGACACAAAACTATGTAATACTATTACAAAATGCATTATTTTGGGCAAAATGGAGTCCAAACATGGGCAAAATAAAATTAAGGTATTGTTTTTCCACAATGACCGAGACGCAAAACTATGTAATATGTTGAGTTACATGGTCTATAGTATGATTAGAGAGTTTACTTCTTATAGGTAATTTGATATATTGAGGCTCGTTTGTTATAACTTTTAAAAAGTTGAAAGGTGTTTTTGAGATTCAAAAGTTAACACAACTATGTAATGTGTTGAGTTACATGGTCTATAGTATGATTAGATAGTTTACTTCTTATAGTTAATTTGATATATTGAGGCTTGTCTGTTATAACTTTTAAAAAGATAAAAGATGTTTTTGAGATTCAAAAGTTGTTTTTGAATCTGTTTGACTAATTTTGTGAAGGTTTTTTATCTGGTTAAAAGAATTTTTAAAGAAAACTGATTCAATGTAACCTTTTTTAAAAGTACTTTTGGAATAGATAACTTCTTTAAAAATTAGTTTTTAAACAAAAATTAAGATGACTTTTTAAAAAAAAAAACTCTTGTACAAAAAAATAAAAATAAAAATAATGTCAAACGGCCCTAAATATCTCTTTTTATATGTGGTGCACAATGTGGGAAAATGCAAGATTAAATGGAATTGAATTTATGGGGTATATATGTTGTGAATTTTGAAATTTTATTTTATTCTGAACGTAGGAAAATAAGGCATGGGAGGGACCAAGAGAGCCAAACACATGCCAGGACTGTTTATCATTAGATACTAGAGTCAATGATTAAGCCCTCGTTTCATCTCCATTAAAATAATAATTCATTTTTCTCTCTTTTTATCAATTTCACATTCTTTTATAAAATAATATTACACGTAAATTCAAAATATTTTCTTCTTTTTTAACCACACATTCTTAAAAAAAATGCTTTTCAAAAAATTATAATCTCAAATAATAGAGACTAAACAAATAAGGCCAAATTATTTCGGGTTTGAATGGTCAGAATCACTTTTACATCTCTAATATCCTTAGAAATTTGTAAATAAAAAATATAAATGTCAATTATGAGTAGACATGGGCAAAAAAAAAATCGAAAAACCAACAAAACCAATTAAACCGAACCGACTCGGACTGGTTCGGGCCAGTTTGACACGGATAATTGGTTTCGTTTGTTTTTTTTTTTAAACAAAACCATGGTGGATCGATTCAGCCGTGATTTGAAATATCATACCGCTGTTTAATCGAAACCGACCCAACCCACTTACATGTTTATATATATATTTTTTTAAAGAAAAATAAAAAGATAAGTTTTAATCTCATAACTATATATCGATTCATTCCAATCTATGATGCTGCCATTAAGTAATGGTACTGAAAATTTCCTTTAACAAGCTTATTATGTTATACTTTGCATTTTTTTCCATACTCGGGCAATCATGCTATATATAATGCATAAAAAAGCAACAAAATTGACCCAAATGAAACCACAACCCAGACATACTTATGAGATTGTTAACACTAACAATAAGACAGTAATGGTGCTGAGAATTAAAGATGTAGACATGGTAAAGAGATTATCTTTTGGAATTGTAATGTTACAAGTTTTGTGCCATTTCGAAATTAATTTGACACATCATGATGTGACAAAGTGGGGAGTTTTCCTTATCTCCACACTTGTCATTTAGCAATTCGTTCTTTCATAGTATATTTCAAGGATAAATGCAGCACGGTACCAAATATTTCACTAAGTATCAGATTTTGTCAAAATCTTTCATTTGTATCACCCACAGTACCAAACATTTCAAAATATCGCAGATGAAATCCGAATGGACGATTTTTGTTAATTTGACTATTAGTTGACCAAATAATTTACTTTGACAAATAATTTAGACTGATTTTAAAAGGTTAAGATGTTAATTTTACATTTTTTTAAATAATAAAATAATCAAAATCAAATAATTAAAATAAAAATAATTTTAACCAGTCTTAAAAGGTTAAAATGGTATCTATACATTTTCTATAATAAAATAATCAAAATCAAATAATTAAAATAAAAAATTCATTCCACCTTATTCTTCCCCACCCCCACCCCCACTTCCACTTCAAATCTGCAGATCTGGGAAATCAACCTCTTCAAATCCTCGATTCCGTCGCGTCAGAAACATATAACTGATGCAAGAAATCCTCGTTAAACATCTTCTAATCCTCAAATCCATGGTATCAGAAACCCACATCTGTACTCTTATTAGCTCCCATATAGTCATTGGACTCTTTATTTTCCTTCCCGAACTGTTACTTCCCGAGCTCCCACCTTCAGATCCCTGCTTTGAGCTGGATCTCTGACCTAATGCATTCTTCATCTTCGATGCTTGTCGAAGTCAATGACCTCTGCAATGATGACGATAAATTATTCGAATTCTTACGATTAATCATCAAGGAATTACCATTGTTGCTAATAATACTGTTAGTATTGCTCTAGTTGTTGGAAGTGTAGGTGAGGGGTTTGAAAGAGGATGAGCAAGTGGATGCGAGGAAGATCTCATAAGTCGAAGCATGGAGGTCTATGTCAGAGAGAGAGAGAGAGAGAGAGAGAGAGAGATACGTTTCCAAAAGGTGAGGGAAGTGTGGTTGAGAAGGAATTTGTGGTTGCCGTGAAGTTGGAGGTGGCGGAGGACGACGACATATTGACAGGGGCGCCGACACTGGCGGTGGAAGAAAAGGAGAAGGTAGGGGTGGGGGTGGGTACAGACGAAGAAGGTGAAATAGGTTTTTAATTTTAATTATTTGATTTTGGTTTTTAATCATTTGGACTTCAACTGTGACATTTTGAAAGATTTGGTATCTTGGGTGGCACAAATGAAGGGTTTGAGTAAAATATGTTACTTAATGAAAGGTTTGGTACCGATACTGCAATTATCCCTATATTTCATGAGGTTGTCATGCATATACAATTGAGTAATTTCCATAATTGGCCAAACTGTACTTTACTTCAATTATGGAAGTTGTTTGTTTTTCCAATTAAAATACCTAAGAGAGTATTTTCAAGAAAATACACTTTTATTGGTGGATAATATGCCTATTGAGGTAAAGTTTGTTTTCTAGTACAATTTCCTATATATTTTATTTGATTGTGTAATTAGGGTTGTACAAAACTTTCGATCCGAATCGAATCGAATCGAATGATTCTTCTTAAATTAAATATCCAAATTGATATTTGAATTGAGAATCAACAAGTTTGGTTCGATTCTCGATTCTAGATCAAGAATTGAATCTCCTTAATTATTTTTATATTACACAAGTCAAATTATTTTAATTTTTTAAATAAATTTGCCAATTAATTAATTGAGACCAAAAATATCATTTTCCTATTTCATTCGCCAACTAATTAATTAGATTAAAGCCAAAATATGATTTTTCTAGATTTGAGGGCTTGAAGCAAATCAATGAGATGAAATCACCGATATTTTATTATTTATTTTTTGGTAATTTGTATACATTGGTGAATGAATGTATAATTTTAAATTAGACTACGTTATCTTGTAAGGTTTAAGATTGAACGTGTTATTAATCGAATTATTGTAATGTTGTAAATATTAAAAATTTTAATCATGGTATGGAAACTGGTAACCAGACCATTCGATTCTATAATTAAATTTGGATCCAATAGTTCCACTTACTAAATACCCAAATTCGGGTTCGATTCGATTGTCTTTAGAACTAAACTGAATTGGGTCATGTCCAGCTCTATGTGTAATACATCGAGACAAAGTTGGTTTTGGAAGAAGTTATGAACAAATTAATTTATAAATAAATAATGAAGAAATATATGGTACTTGTGAGAAATCTTTTAAATGTAGTTTAGGTTTCATTTAATAGAACTTCTACTTTTGTAGAAGAACCTTATGAATAACTTATCTTAATTAATATTTGAAAACTAATTTGTAAAAGAGTTTTTCTTTCAAAAGAGTTTTTAGAGGAAGTCATATTGGATTTTTTTTTTCTAAACGTTCTTCTAACTAGAATAAGCAATTTCATAAAATTAATCAATATAATTCAAAAATAACTTTTGGATCTCAAAAACTTCCTTTGACTTTTTAAAAGTCATGCCAAACGAATCGTAAGTCCACGAGAGTGAAATTTTACAATCTTCTATCATATGACAATAATTTTTGAATTACTCAAGTTTACCGCCAGACCGTTTCCCTTGTTGATCATTTGTCAATTTTTAGCGCATAACACCAAGGACATTTTTGTCTAATGCGTATAAATTGATATAATCGACCGAGTCACTTTTTTTCACGCATTTGGTAGGATCTACAAATATTGCTTATTTATTCACCACTTATTTCTATCTATTTATAATTTAAATTGATAAAAATGAATTATAGATAGGTGAACAATACTCATAAATCTCTCGGAATGTATAGATAAAAAGTGTTTTGGTGCATATGCTCAAAATTAAAATGTTACACGTAATTTCGTATTACTAATATGTTGGGAAAACAGATTTTCTTGCCACCTTGGTGTGTACATGCCAGGGTGGTAGAATTGTAGCAATCGGATTAAATGTGTTTTGTTGTTGAAGATTTTGTGAGATTTGGTCGTGTATATTTTGTAAACGAAGTGATAAAACGAGAGCGTAAATGTAGCATAACTCAATCATGGTAGCCCTATACATGCAATAATAAGGCAAAGAGAAATTAGTTTGGATATACTAGTCAACAACTTAGTACAAGTGCATTTATTAAAGGTGGTGTGAAGTGGGGCTTCTTCTTTTACAATATTAAGCCATTTGGGCTGTGGGGTGGGTACCAAAGAAAAAAAGCCATTCTTCTGCCCTCACTTTTTTCTGTGATAGAGGTGGTATTCATGGCCCTTCACAGATCACCTCTATTGCCTTTTTCTGCCTTTACCTCTCACACCGCACCTTTCCTCACCATATCATCATTCATCAACATCATAACACCCACCGCACATCCACCTTGTTTGGCTCAACTATTACTAACTTATTTTATTATCCACACATTTCGTATAACTCATTATTTCTCTTTACTATAACGAAACCCAGACAAGCACTAAATGTATAATCAAATACTATCGAGAGTAATTGAATATGAATCAAAAATTGCATTTAAGTAAACAACGTAGTTTCGAATAGTTCACTTTGCTATGTTCCCTTGACCATTTGTCGTTGCTGAGTTTCACTTTGACGAGACTTATTTTAATATTAATTCTTATATTTTTCACTTATATTATGTTATTTGAACAACTAATACTAACTTTTTGGCTAGTACTAGAAAGCTAATGTAATTTCAATATTTTGGACTGGACATAATATCTAAATAAATCTGTTCACGACATCTCATACTATTTATTTCAATGTCCGAATAAGTTTGAAGTCTATAAGGACTGTTAATTGTACAATATAGTCAAGTAGAGTCGAGATAAGGACTATTGTCGAGTTTATCAAACATCGAGAAGGTTCTAAACCATTGTTTGGTGGGTGACCTAAAAAGGGGTCATCGACATTAGATAGAAGCATGGTCTATCGGATAACAACCCTTCTCCTAAACTTTGATTAAACAATATTGTTTATCATCAGAAATTTGTCAAGAAAACGACTTATGTAACTAATTATAGTATTCCTTAAAAACCAGTTCACCAGCAAATTCTGCAATTATTTGTAATAAATACACGAGTCCGAAAAGAAAAGAAGAAGAAAAAGAAAAATACCCACAAATAATAAATTTGAAAATCCTCCACCCAATGAAAGAAAAAGGAAATATATTGTCAGTCAGCATGAATTTAAAAAAGAAAAAGAAAATTAAAGAAGAAAATGATGAAGAAAACATGCCTAATGAGCCATGGCGACTGGCGCCGAGTAATTAATGCTTTTCTGGTTGGGCATGGCGAGCATGGTAGTATGGTCAATAAAATCTTTGAGAGCAACAACTGATTGAAGAATTGATCTAAGATCATCCGCACATGAGAACCCTAAATTCCCAATTCTTCTGACTGCATAAACATAGAATGTGATGCATCCTTTCCTGAATTTAAATCTGGCCATTTCACACCCCATCGTGCCTCTAATTAGCTTCTTGTTCACTTCTCCGAGCGGTATTTCCGGCGGCCATAGCCCGTCCATCGCCGTTTTCATATTCTCCGATTCAAAAACGAATATAAGTACTTTCGATTTCTTAGTTCCAAGGCCTAATGTCAGTGTATGCCATGCATGATGCGCCAAAATTGTAAAGTTCGTGGGGAGAAAAGCCGTTGTTGAAGGGAAAGGCGGCTTCCAATTGGTTCTTTTTTCCTGGTGGTGAGTGGTGGTGGTTGGCGGCGGAAGAGAGAGGAGGCGGAGGAGCTCTAACGGCAGTGCGCGCCGAATTGTGAAGGATTTTACAATGAATTGGCCGCCAAATTTGAGTCCCTTCACTTCCGGACAAGGCTTAAATGCAAAATCAGATGCAATCTTGGAATTTTGATCATTTGGGTGCAATTTTTTTTGCTTCTTGTTCTTGTTTTTCACTTTTGCTTCCATGGAATTTGGCTTTTTTGATTTTCTAGATGATTTGGTGGTAGTGGAGGGGTAAATTTTCTTTGGTATGATATGATTGATGAGCTTGCATATATGATTATATTTACAATTTCTTCTATTCTTTTATGTCATGATAATATATTACCTCTCAAATTATGTACACCCCAATGTATCATATTATGTACAGATCCATATTATATATACTAACTGGTTGGCTCTTTTAATGGGAAAATTTATTGCGAATTCACACTGTTTTTTTATTAGAAAAAACCCAAGGTATATACTAACTGGTTGGCTCTTTTAAAGGGAAAATTTATTGCGAATTACACTTATATTGTGCTTTTTTATTAATAACATTAAAGTGGACATTTCAATTAGAATTGAACCTTAAATTTTTTTTTTGTCCGATTTTAGAGAAAATTTAGAAATTAAAATTGAGAATCGATAGGTTCCGGATGATTTTTTTTTTTTTGTTCTTAAACAGGAATCATGGGACCAATTTGTCATTTTTATAATTTATTTTTTTTATTTTTTACGATTTATTCACCTTAACCCAATGTGATGCAAAGAAAAAGATGGAATAAAAAATTTCGTCAATGTTCATTGTTATGCTATTTTCAGATGAATGAATTTATGTTATTTAGTATTTCTAGAAACTAGTTGATGAGTGCAATTACCTTATTAAACATATTCTTTTAAATCGTAGTTTTTTGGTTCGTTCTTGAGCACTTTTGAACGTTTTGATGTGTGTGTTCGTATTGTTTTATAGTTGGCCAAAGTGGATGAAAACGGAGTGGTGAGGAGCTTGAAATGAAGTTGTAATGATGATCACGAAAGGAGGTACGACATGAATGAATTGGAGAAAAGACCAAAAGATTAGTGGAGAAGAAGAACAACGCATTTGGAGCCGAGTGTTGGGTGCCTAGGCGCCACATTCTTGGCGCCCAAATAATGAGAATGGGCAGAATGGCCGGCGCCTTAGTAAAACAAAGCAGAACCGCTGGCGCCCGAATAAAATCGCGGCACCGGCTCCCGGGTAAAGAGAAAAAATAGGATTTTCTAAAGATTTTCAGCCTAGCTCACACCCAATTCGTCTTGCAACCTAGTGGAACTATAAATACACTTTTTGGAAGACCTAAAAATGGTTCTTTTGAACTATATATTTCGCTCCCTGAGACTCGCACAAGAAGAGGAGAGTATGTCTCTTGAGGTCTGAGTTCTTTCTAAGACTCAAAATCCAAAAGCATCAACTTGTTGAGTACCTTATGATTTAAATCATTTAACCCGCCATCAAATATAGTAAATTTGGGATGGTGGATTGTGACATCCTTTACAATTTTCTCAGAATCTTTTGTATACACGTTTTTTTTTTGTTGTTGCAATGTTTAGGATAGGTGTGTAGTGCCTTACGGGAATACTTACTTTAAACCAGGGGCGGACGCAGACTTTTTATGTTGGGGGGGGGGGGGGGACAATCAAATTTTCAAAAAGTAACGAAACAATTAAAGTAAGAGATTGGAACTCGATCTTACACCGTGTGTAGATCACTATCCAAACTTCCAATTTCCTCATTCTCATACAGAAGCTACAACCAACATGAACTGAAAAATGAGTTATGATTGTCAGCCCATCATCATATACAGAGATACAAAGAAATGAGGAAATTATGAAAACCACAATGATGGTTATGATGTTTATGTACCTCAACAAGAAACATTCTATTGGACACAAACACCACTAAGGCGAAAGCGCAATATTTCGATCCAAATCCACTTAATTTTTAGTAAATTGCTTAAACAAAAATGTCAGGACTGCACATCATCTGCATCAGAGTCACTACCAGAGGAACTCCCAGAATCAGAATCTGTAAAAGAAAGCTCGAACTAATGAGCACTCCATGAACAATGACTTTTGATACCGGAAAATTCCAAGGAAGAAATTCCTCAACACAGTGTAGAAACGCAAGAATCAGTACCACTGGAAGATGAGAAACTGCTACTTGAGCTACTGGAACTGCTCAAGCCACTAGAGGCATTACCATAATCACGATCTTGATCATGACCAACTTCTCCACCTCCTTTATCCTTTTCAATCTCCACGGGAGGAAAGTGTGTAGCAGATATCCTCATCAATGTCCACATCCTCATCCTCGTGTTTTTTAGGCCTATTTTCCAAATCATTCCCCTCGCTCATTGCACTCTAAAATATATAAACAGCACGTGAACTTCAGTAGTTCCCAAATGCAAATCAGAAAAAAAAATAATAATACTCCAGTTAGTCACGAATCGATCAAGTTCCCAAAGAGTCTCAGTATCAAGGGCTTCAATATCCAGTTCAATTTCATCGCCATCTTGCGCTAAATGTTCATTCCCCTTCCTAATAATCTGAACCAATTGTGGCATTTTCTCTTGAGGTAAACTCTGCAACCCAAAATCCTAGGGGGGCACAGGCCACCCCCAAGTCCGCCAGTACCTTGAACGTAGGCTTTGAAAACCCCTTTCGTTAGGGTATAACAAACCTAAATGGAAGGATATAGGTACCACGGTGTGTGTTTACCAAATCCATCTTTCTGTGTGGTCGGATGGATACATAATCAGTTAATGGATACTTGTGCCTTCACAGAATAGACATGTGTAACCTAGAAAATGGTACCTGTTGAATCCCAATTTACTATAAAATATTAATATTTTTCTGGAATTGAATATAAAAAGCACGGAAGCTAAGGTCAAAATTATTTATTTCATAACATAAGGAGTTCATACATCTTTCCCAAACTATATAGATCTAAAAACATAGACGGATGTGCATGAGTCTAACTTACAACATTAAGTTGTACAGAAGAAAGATACTTCCAACTAAAACAAAAGTTCCCTTAGTTTAAGTATGACATTTGAAAAAGTAGACTGACAAGTTGAATGAGAGACATCTTCTGTAGAGATGTCATATCAATCAATTGCTATGAAAGATCTTGTACGGAAGGTATCTTGGAGGAGGTGAAGCTAGGAAAACACCTTGCTTCGACCATGGAGGGTTGGTCTCTACATGGTGCCTAGGTTGAGTCAATAGCATCACTCCGACTTCCTCTTGTTTAATGGCCTCGGTTACACCAAATAAGTGATGTAGATTAAGGCTTGAGGTGGCTTGTTAGTTAACTACTACATGGTCAATGATTAGACCCTCTTAAAATGAGGCGTAACAATTATCCTCCAACTCTATTCGTGAATATTCATATAAGATGTGAATTTTGGTAGGTAAGTGAAAGAAATAATATATAATAAGGGAGGGCTTACGAATGTCCCTAAATCTAACATTCTTACATTTTGCAATTGATACATCGAAAGCCAACTCCGAGTTGTTTTGCACTGACCTTCATTTTGGTATAGAACATTTTTTTCTTCCTTTTGTGTCCTTTTTTTGTTATACAACAAATCTTAATTCTTAGTTTTATTATTATTATTATTATTATTATTATTATTATTATTATTATTATTATTATTATTATTATTATTATTATTATGTGCATTTGTAATAAATTTTAATCATGTAATCAATAATAATTCTAAATGTATTACCCTCTTTTTAAATATTATGACATTGAATGTAATATTTTTTTAATTGTGGTATTTGTATTAAGTGTACTACATTTTTAAAAATTTATTAATGAATTTAATATTTTGTTAATTAAATGTAATTATTTATTTAGTATATTATATGGTAATAAAATAAATAATTAAATAATCTTTGAGGTAAATAAATCTTTAAGAACTGAAAAATGAAGAAAATGATGAAACAGTATTCATTTGATATAACTTTTGATATTTTGGATTGGAGATGATTTTCAGTTTATTATCACCATTGGTGTGGCCCAAACAAAACAACCAAGAGAACATTTCCCTTTCAAGATCTGAGGCAAGGATTGATGCGATTTTAGCCACGGTAAATTGTTCCTACTCTGATACCATATTCGAGAAAGAAAGAGCAATTTATTATTATTATTATTATTATATTGTTGTTGTTGTTGTTTTTTGTATACCTATTAAGACGTTAGAATTTTATCTTAAAATATCAACTTTTGTTAGGAGAAATAACTCAAACCACAAACTTTTATATGTTGATTAAAGCTTTCATCTTTACATTTTACATTTAACGCGCACGCAAAATGGTAACTCATTTAAAGACATAATCTTGAAATTTTTAATGCTTGTTTGAGATAAGATGGATAGAATTGTTTGTTCGAGTTTAATGAACTCTAATACTCTATTAAAAATTGAAGTTTTATCTTAAAGGGTAATCTTGTTCACATAATTAACTCAAGCTTTATATATTGATTAATATTTTCATGTTTAATCCATGTGAAATATAACTTTAATTTGTTTAATATTTATACTTGAGCAAGAACGCTATATAACGAATAAACAATTGATATTTCATGGATTTATGATTTTGGAGAGCGTTTATTTCAAGGGATTGTGAACAATTAGTGCAATTAAAGGATTATTAAATCCACAAATCTAACCAGGACGATATTAGGTATGTGATTGGCTTTTTCGAAGTGCTTGAGTTGATTTCAAGCTATATAATTAGGCCCGTGTTTGGTGGGCTCTTTTTTGAAAAAAAAAATTGTTTTAAATATTAATTATTTGAAGAATGTGTAGTTAAAAAGTAGAGA